AACGTTTCCTTCATTACCTAGTGAAAAATGTAGCCCCTTCTTTAGGAGATCTGTAGTTTCAGAATCTAGAGGGATTGAGGATAGGTTTACTACCTTTGTCCTATCGTCGTCTGTAGCCCTTTATGCCTTCAATAAAGAACCATCAAAATTTGCCCGGGTTTGCTTGGTCTTGCTCTGTCTCGCCAATATACTTATGTTTGCATGCGCCACATGATATACAGTAAACTCTTGAACAATCCAATTTGTCTACCCTTTCATATTACTTCGGTAGACTTGTGAAAAGTGTTGATTTCTCTTTAATTGCCACCAAAATATTCCATTTCCTCAACATTGGCCGTAGTTTTGAGTTAGTTCACAGGAAGGTAGGCTTATCCACTTTTCTAAATTTATTTCCGTCTTTACTGTTCCTTTATAGTCCACGTTCTGTCATCGGCTTTTTACGGCCCGTATGTTTCTTTGTATTACTTCGTTTGGGTAGTAATTGTCGAGAAATATCATAGTTAATTTGTCTAACTCTTCGTCCCATAATTCTACATCCGTTAGGCGTAGGCTCCAGATGATTATGCTCCTCATTATTCCTATCTTTAGCCTGTAATTGTGATGGGACCGCAAATTGAGTATTATCCCAGCATAAGACTCCTTTCTGAACAATTTCTTTTTGAGCGCTCCATTAGAGCGAATCACCTCACCATCCAGGAACGATAACCGCTCATCTTCCTCTACTTCCATCGTGATTTTTATTTTATCAATCTGAAGGTGATCTGGATAGGAAGCCCGGGTTGGATTAACCGATTGAAAGAGAGGGGGTCGGGGTGAATAGCAGATGTGTTGAAGCCAAACTAGATTTGTCACAAAAGGGTCCATTTTAAAGAGTAGAATGTAAACAAGTGCGAAGTTGTGTAGGGCGGAAGTTTGATAAGAGGGTAAAGAGTATATAGATAGGCCAGGACAGAAAGAGGAGTGATAATGTAACCGTTTTCGGAAGAACGTTGGTAGAAGGATTCATTTCACTTGTCTCTTTGACGAGTTCGTAGTTTGGTGCGGAGAATGGCAGCACTCACCGATTACGATGCCGGCGAAACGTTTGAGTATGTACCAAGTCCACTGTCTGATGCTGGGAATTCTGATAATAACTATGGCAGAGGACTTCGGACTAGGTGCGTTCTACTAGGTCGCCCTCACAACAAGACCAAGTTGCGACGAGGTCAACTCACTCCTATTCCTCATTGTTCGCAATTATCTTTAATGTTACCCTTTCTTAGTGGATTTTTGGCAGGCCATATGAATTCTGAGGCTTAGTGTCACGCTGAAGAAGTGCGTTAACCTTTAACTTCTCTAGTTCTCTTACGATTTCCTTAAGCCTAAAATATGAAGGCAAAAATGGTGTGGCCTTTTGTATGGTCGCTGTCTCCTTTCGTTGTATAGAAGTTGTTTGACCTTGTCATATTGGCAGGAATACCTAGAGAAACTTACTTTGTCCATAGTATGCATGATAATTTCCAGAGTCGGGTCGTGAACTTGGTACATTCCCAGACGTATCGCCGTCATCTTCAGTGAACCTTGCCAGTCTTAGTACCACACTACAACTCGCCAAAGAGACAAATGAAGCCGATCTTTTGACCAAATGTGTGCCAAACAGTTGTATATCTCCTTCCGTTCTGGGCTATTCACATATCCTATATCCTCTACGCTGTAGTTCTCACCCCCTTCACCCTTGTGCAGGGAATGTGGATCAGATTCTGCCGTATTGTTACGCAGTCCTCCTTACCTATGTCTTATCACAGTCTCTTTCTTGCCCCGTAATATCCGTCTGCTCTCTCTCTGGTTCACGTATTTCACTCGACCCCTGCCACCCCATCTGTGCTACTCGAGGCGTTATTAGCCCTCCTCTGCGTTCAAGTGTCTAATTCGAAGCCAAAGCCTCTGAGTAAGTCTCATCGTCAAGCCTTTGCTACATGAACCACGTCTCTGGTAAGACCTACTGTCAGCCAACTAGCTCCAGTTTCCGCTGCGTCTATCCTGTTTCTATCCCTAATACCAAGTCTATGAATTCCTATGCCCCAGTCTCATGTGTCCCAACCCACAATAGTTGTGGTATTGCTTGCTTTCTGTGGTTCAATGTTGAGGCTTGAGCCTCAAATTAGTCATTCAGACACAAGGGAGGGCAAATAGCGCCTCGAGTAGCACCTATAGGGTGGCAGGCGTCGAGTGAAATACGTGAACTAGAGAGAGAGAGAGCAGACGGATCTTACGGGGCAATATAGAGAGACTGATAAGACCTAGGGAAGGAGGACGGCGTGACAATATGGCAGACTCTGATCAATATTCCCAGCACAAGGGTGAATGGGGTGAGAACGACAGTTTGGAGTGTTAAGAGTCTTCATGAATGCCGCTCGAAGCGGCACATGAAACTACATTAAGAATAAGCACGGTAAAAATTGTAACAGTGAAGGCGTTATAGGAGGATATAGGAAATTTGAATAGCCCAGGGCAGAAGGGGAGATACCACAAATGTTTAGCACACGTTTGCTCAAAGTATCAGCTTCATTTGTCTCTTTAACGAGTTGTAATATGGTGCTACGAATGGCGAGACTCACTTACGATGCCGGCGAAATGTCTGAGAATGTACCACGTTTACGGTCCTACTCTGGAAATGATGATGCATACTATGGACTCCTGTTTAGGTTAGTTCCTTTAAGTCTTCCTACCAATATGACAAAATTGCGAAACCAAGGTCAAGCAACCTTTAGGCATCTCATGTTTTGCCTAAATGTTTGCTCAAAATTTAAGCTAAGTGGTTGCGGATGAGGCGTGAAACGGGTGCAATTGTGACCGAATAGCTGCATCCTCTCCTGAAACACATACATTTTATCCTGCAATGTTACCTCATGTTATTGCGTTCAATTGCACACGTGTTGTCTGAATGCATTGTTCTTGAAATGAGTGTGATGTGAGCCTAATTAACCCTCCTTTTGCTCGATGGTACTTCTCGTTCCTCCCTCCCCCCTGTCTAATCATGTCCAACGGCCACAAGTAGTTTAAACTCAACATCCTACATTCATTCATATATTATTTACAGCAATTCTAAGTTGGGTACCTCGCTTATGATGCGCATATGATCTGCCCAAAATTCATAAGCAAGCTACCTCACTTAGGATTATTGTAAATAAAGGTAGCTTAATGCATAAGACATCACGATTTATACGTACTCAGTTAAAACAAACCTTCAAAACTTCCAAGTTTTTAGTAAGGAAACTTTATAAAGTTACTTGATAATCATACGATAGAAAGAGGAAATTTGCTGGTAAGTTTCGATGTAGTGCCTACGCACACTAACATTCCGACAAACAGGGCATTATAATTAACTATGGATCAATACCCTGAAATTAAAATAGGGAAAAAGTTAGGTAAATCGGATTAGTCAATTTGGCAATATATAATACATATTTCACCTTCAATGGTAAGTTGTATGAACAAATACAGGGCCTGGCTACGTGATCTTGTTAAGCCACTATTTTAGCTAACAACTACATGGCCCAATTAGAAGTTCGTGTGTTTCAATAGGCACTCCTAGTTTCCAAGTTATTAGTTCGTTATATGTACGAATACTTTGCAGTTTGGCAACACTGCAAAGATAGAAGTTGTTTGACCTTGTTTTCGAAACTCGGTCATATTGGTAGGAAGACTTAGAGGAATGCACTTTTCCTGAGTCCATTGTATGCATAATTATTTCCAAAGTCGGACCGTGGACGCGGTACATTCCCAGACGTTTCACCTGAGTCCATTGTATGCATAATTATTTCCAGAGTCGGACCGTGGACGTGGTACATTCCCAGACGTTTCGGCTGAGTCCATTGTATGCATAATTATTTCCAGAGTCGGACCGTGGACGTGGTACATTCCCAGACGTTTCGCGGGAGTCCATTGTATGCATCATCATTTCCAGAGTAGGACCGTAGACGTGGTACATTCCCAGACGTTTCGCCAGCATCGCAGTCGGCATCGTCAGTGAGTCTCGCTATTCGTAGCACCATATTACAAGTCTCTTTGACGAGGAGCAGCGAGTGTAGAAAACTGAGTTGGACCTATTTGTGGCTGTTGGATAGGCTTAAAAAGAGGGAGGGAGAGGGAGTGTAGGAAGAGCCACTGAACAAGAGAAAGAGGCTGGATTAGCCTCGAGTCTAGCTATTACTATCACACTTCCCATGGCACTTCCTTCGAAATGGAAAGTCATGTCACAATATATCACTAAGGAATTCTTCGAAACCCAGTTTTTCTTCATATATATATACTTTCGACCCA